TTAGTTCATATAATTCTAAGATTTGGTAAAAGTAATAAATATTTATTTTAATATAATTATTATTACTTCAAAGATTTTTAAATTTTTTTAAAATAAAAATTTTCAGAGTTTATTATTTTAAAAATTTTTATATTAAAAATTTTTAAAGACTTTTGAAGATTTTTAAAGATTTTTTTGAAAAATTTCCTGATATAGAACAAAATTATTGTTTTTTGGAAGTACATATTTTTGAAAACAAATAATTATTTGAATTAAGGATAAATCCCTAAACTACAGTATTTAGCATATAAAATTTTGCAGATCAATTATGTTCTTTTTGAAGGGACAAAATTATTTATTCATTATTTTAATAGGGACATAATTAAAAAAACACTTGGATCAAGTAACCTAAATTGCAAAAAATCTTTGTAAATAGTTTTTTTTTGACCTTATATTTAAAAAAAAACTTTTTTAATAGTAAGGAACATTTGAATTATGTCCTTGCCTTTAATTTAAGAACTCATCTTTACTTACAATTACTGAAAAAACTAGAAGTTCTATCTTTATACAATTTAATTAGAAAAAATATATGATAATTTTTTGTAACCAAATAGATTTGAACTCTAGATCTTTATTTGATAACTTATGAAGCTTTATTACTAAACTATAGATTTATAAATTTATATATTTGATATTTTAATTTTATTATTAGAATTAGAATTTATAAATAAAAATTATTTAATAATTTTATTAACAAATATAATTTTAATACTAGCTTTTATAGATCTAATTTTATAAGTAATATAAAATACAAAAAATATATAAAATTATTATTATTATTATATGTTTAAAAAAATTATTTATTTATAATAAAATAAGAGAAAGTGAAAAAGTAAAAAAAAATAAGAAGAAATTAAAAAAGCAAATAAAATATAAATAGAAAACCATTATATTATATATTATTAATATATAATAATTTTAATTTAATTTTACCTCTACTTATAATAATATTATATAACAATTTTAATTTAATCCTATCTTTACTTACAATAAAAATCGATGTTTACCAAAAAAAAAAGATTAATATAATTATTTTGATTAAAATAAGTTAAAATATTTATGTATTATTAATTCAAAAAAATAAATATTTTATTTTTATTATTTGTATTTAAAATTTTCATAATTTAGTAACATACAGTATATTTAATATACTTTAGTTTTAAACATTGATAAATTGCGTTATTCAATTTAATAATAGATTTCAATTTATTATTTTTTCTTTACAACGCGCTATATACAGTATATTTTAAAAAAAAAATACAAAAAAGATCTGCGATTTGCACATATATATAAATATGTTATCGAATAAATAGATGTAGAAAATTTTTTCTACTCGACGATAGAAAAATGGATTTTTCACAGTACAACGATGCTGAAAGGGCACATCTTCAGAGAATAATCGAAATGAAACAGGTTGAATTATCAATTATATGCTTTAATAAATAAAATCGCGTTGATTAATATAAGCTTCTCGGATTATAGATGCGAGATTTTATGAAATTCTACACTAATTTGGTGGAACGGTGTTTCAACGACTGTATTAGTGATTTTACGTCAAAAACCTTAACTTCTAAAGAGGTATAATGTCATCAATTCTTTAATTTTATATTAATATAATCAATCAATTAAGTTAACATTATAAAAAATTTTTTTTTGAGGAAACATGTATAACTCGTTGTACCGATAAGTTCCTAAAGCACAATGAACGTGTAGGGCAACGATTCGGCGAATTAAATCAACAACCAATGCAACAACAACAAATGCCATCGCCACAACCACCTCAACAAAGTGGTGGTAGCAGTTGGTTTGGAAGATAAGTTTCTCGAAACGTTTATTTTAGAGGGCTCGTCAGTCTTTTACCGCCAAACTTAATGCTATATTGATTAAATAACTGGTTTTCTTTGAATAAAGTTTCATAAATATAGTTTAAATTTTGATGATAATTAGTTCAAAATTAAAACAAAAAAAAAATTAATCACTAAAATAAAAATTTTTTTAAAAAAATTAACTTTAAATCAATATATTACACATATAATCTGGTAAAAAATTCTTTGGGCTCTTATTTGGCTTATAATTTAATAAGTAATTAATATATTTATTATATTGAAAAGAAACTTATTAAATAATAACTAATAGATTTTATAAATTTTATTATTATTTGTTTGTTTGTTTTTAATTAGACTAGTATTATTTGTTTATTAAATCAAGTTGAATTTATTTAAATAATTTATTATTGTTTTTTTTTATTTCTAATACTAATATATTTATTAATTTGTAATTAAAAAACCAATAATATAATATAAATATTATATCAATATTAAACAATTTTTATATAGCAGTATATTTACTAATAAGTTTAAGATTTTGAATTAATACTGAAATAGTATTGACTTATAATAAATTTAATATCAACTTAATACTAAAATAGTACTATTAGAAATCTTAGTAAGTTTATAATTTTTGAATTTTTGATATTAAAACTACTGTATTATCTATATAATTTAATTAATTATTAACTATTTTACTATAAAATATATATATATATATATATTAAGTAGGTAAACATTATCTTTTTATTATCATAAAATTTTTAAAATATTTTATATGTTGAAAGTAATAACATCTCTTACATAACCAATTGATCAGTGAGTTTAATGCTAGCTTGCCTATAGAAACTATCTAAATAATATGAAAAATAAATATTAAAACTGATGTATATCCTAAATAATATCAAGTAGCTATTAATACCTACTCAAGTTTATATATAAGACTATAAGAGATAGAAAATTGAAAAAAAAAAGAAAATATTAAACAAAAAAATATATACAACAAAACTAATTATAAAGCTATAGATATTTTAGATAAAATCACTAGGCACGCCATGCTGATAGTTCCATTTAACTAAAATATAGTAGTTGCACTTTCAGAAATAGTCAGATTACTGTCCAAAGTATATGATAATATTAGTAATATATTTTCTTGATAGATAATTGATTATGATAGTATTGTTGTTATAATGGTAGTATGGTAATTTGTATTTGAATATTTGGTAATAATCAGAAGAAAAATAAAAAAAAAAACTGATTATTATACAAGAGATGCCTTGAATTAGGTGTGTCATATTGGTTAATCCATTTAATTAAAGTAGGATGCTACTTCTAAGAATGGCCAGGCTACTGTCCAAAGTAGATAATAGTATTATTGACACATTATTTAAATCATATATTGTTATTGTGATTGTTGATATTTTTGTTAGTATGTTAATTAATTTATTTTTTTGTGATATAATCTTGTTTTAATTGATACTGCCAAAATAGATTTTATTTATATCAATTAATATATGATGTTTTGGTTGTACAAAGTGGTTTTGAAATTTGATAGTATTTGATTGGTTGAGTTTGAAATATTTATTAATTAATAGAAATAAACTGATTACAGTTTTTTAATAAGAAATTTTTTAAGTGAAAATTTTTAATTTTTGATAGCACAATAGAATGTATTAAGTAATAGTAAGAAATATATATTAAATATATTGTTGATTTTCTAAGTTAACAATATAGATAATTTTGATATAAAGTTTAGTTTTTGGAATTAATAAGCAATTCTCCAAGCAAAAAATATAATTATTTAAAAAGATTTATATATTAAAAAGAAAAAAAAATAAGAATAATTATAAGAAAAATTTGTAAAGAAGTAACTACTACAGATCTTTTCTTATGCAAGCCAAAAAAAAAACAAGTTTTTCAAACTTGCTTTCCTTTAGCCAAAAGTTCTATTTTAATGTACTAGTATACTTCTTTAATTTTCTTAAGACTCTTATAATGAAGAAAAAAAAAGTATAAAGAACTTTTGAATATTGAAAGTCAAAAAAAATATTGTATATAGGAAAGAGTTTAATTTACTTTTCATAAAAAAATAAATTTAAAACTACTATTATATAATATTTGTTATATACAGTATTTAAAAATTTTAATATTCTTTTACTTTTTAAATATAATAATTATTTTTTTTTCAATAAATAAATATCATTTCTTTATTTAATTTATATATTTAAAGTATATATTATGAAAAAAACAATATTTATTATATACATAGGAAAACTCTTTCCACCAATCCTTTTGCCAACCCAAAAAACAAATGTTCTCAAAAGATTTTTTGTCTTTATAATAATAAAGTCTATACACTTTCCTTAAAAACAATACTGGTTTTAACCAGTCGAGCAAGCAGAAGCCACTACTTGTTTTATTTTTTCTTTTTCAAAAACATTTCTTGCTTATTTTTGCAACTAAATACAAGAAACCCACCTAAAAGGTCTATGGCAAGAACATCTTTATAGAAAGAAGACTGATAAGAAAAAATACACTCCAAAGACCCCAAAAGATTCAAGAATCTAAAGAAACAAGAATAAAGAAGTTTTCAGTCTTTTCATTATTTCTTTGACTTCCCACTTCTTTTTTCTCAAGCATGTTTTTTTTTTTCTGGTTTTTCTGGAAAATTTTGCCTACCTCAGTTTGACCCTGAATTTTTTGATCACACCGGATTTCCTGAAAGATAATTAGTCAAGGTCACAGATTGGTTGATTATATCAGTTACAGAAAAAGTAAACAAGACATATACTCCTCACGTGTTCCTAGTTGCGCAACACCAAACCAATGATGCGATTGGTTCCTGAAAGAGTTGAACAGTTTCAAGTTGAAGTTGTAAAAAGAAGAAGAACGACTCCTTTTGTTCCCATCTTTTTATTTTTCTTTTTTTCTTTCCTATTCTTTCTTGAGAACAGGAAGTAACAACAAGATCTAGGTCCTATCCCAATCTGATAACAAGTTGAAGTACCAATATATATCCCAAAAATGGTTGGAAAAAGGGATCTAAAACTATCCACTGATTGAGTAAAGCTATAATTCCAAAAGACATGGCTTGGGAGAAAAATCAATAATAGAAAACCAATATTCTTTCTGGTTAGAAGTCTTCAAGTGTAAAGTTTCAAGAAATACTCTCTTGGAAGTGCCCTTAAACATTCTTGGACATTGATTACTCCATTGGAAATTAAACAATTTGTCTGACCACAGGTGATGAGAAGTGAGAAACCATGAAGGACTTGGGTTTCAAGTTTATTGAGATAATCTTTTCAATGATAGTTAGAATAGATGATAGCCTTTTTTTTTTTTCTTTTTATCAAAAAATTCCTTTTTTATTGCTTTTTCCTCTCTTGCGTAGTTTT